TTATGAAGCCTACAAAAACTTGATTCACTTACATTTATCTTATGGTCAACCATAAGATTCATAGTGAGTGTAGAATTTGAATTGTTGAAATGGTATAACACAAAAGATGCCAAAGATGTTCATACAAAAATTCTTAATGATGAATTTTGGAAGAATGCTTCTACTTTATTGGCTATGATATTTCCTATTTTGAAGGTGTTACATCTTGTTGATCGTGAAGGTGCAACAACAGGATTAATCTATAAAGTAATGTATTATATAATTTAAGGATTTGAGCTTGCAGCTCAAGATGGGTGTAAACGACTAAATTTTCCATTCTACTTTAGTCACTTAACCACACCTCTGACCACTTGGAGGAGTCTCATTCACAACCTCCATAAGTCCAATCCAGGACTTGGGACTTGCTAGCCCCGAGAATGGCATCCATGCCACTCAACATTTGCACTTGGTCCAAGTGCTCCACATGTCCGATCCCATGACTGACACTCAAAGGTACCACCGACATAGTAGCCCGTTGTAAGCGACTAATTTTTCCATTCTACTTTAGTCACTTAACCACACCTCCGACCACTTGGAGGAGTCTCATTCACAACCTCCATAAGCCCAACTCAGGACTTGGGGCTTGCTAGCCCCGAGAATGGCATCCATGCCACTCAACCTTAGCACTTGGTCCAAGTGCTCCACGTGTCCATCCCATGATCGACACCCCAAGGTACCACCGATATATCGGCCCGTTACGCTAAGGCCATGCCCATTTACCTCGGTCACACTGGTGGTCCAACACCACCTACATTCCAATCCCGTCTCTCAAAGACTGGGTCATCCATCCATGAGTGATCATCCCAGATCCACTCCTTAACATCCTTAGGATGCCTATAGACATGGGGAATAGCCTTCCCCAATATCTCTATTCTGGTCCCCACCAAGTCCCTTTCTGTCCTTGGCTGTGTTCGCCAACACTGCCACTGGATCGAGGCCCACCGGCCCGACCACTAAGTCCCACTATCCTCTAGGACTTCCTCACTGTGTGACTGTGTCCTTGGTCACTACCCCAGAGGACTGCTCCTCTTCCTTTCCACAGTCTGGGCCTTTAGGACAACATTTCGGAACATCGTGGCCTTACGCGAGCCACCTGGGTACTCTCCTCGCCTTCTGCCCTTGGGTGCTCTAGCCATGGGCTTAGAGCGGGTTCCGTTGAGCCACACCAGGTATCCAAGTAGGTAGTGCCACCCACACTTGGACTGGGAGCATCGGCCAGTCGATCTCCCGGGGGAACTAGAGCCGGCTCTTGAACACTTCACCAAGCTACCCCGCTTGTCGGTCCGTGTTCACTCTAGTCTTGGACTTCCCAGTGGGCAGCTCATCACCCAACACTGGGTCCGGCCTTCTTGGGCCAAACTGGCCTTTCCTGGCCAAACTGGCTCCACTGCAGTCCTCCCCCTTCTATACTTTTGGAGCTCACCAAACCCCCCAGGGTCTGGGAGACGAACGCTTTGGGCTTTCACCCTCTCAGGCTCTGGACTCGGACTCGGACTCAGACTCGGACTCGGACTCGGACTCGGACTCGGACTCGGATTCGGACTCGGACTCGGGCTCGGGCTCGGTCTCGGCCTCGGCCTTGGTCTCGATCTCGGTCCCGATCTCCGTCTCGGTCTCGGTCTCGGTCTCGGTCTCGGTCCCGGTCTCGGTCTCGACTTTGGACTCCATCTCGGACTCCATCTCGGACTCCATCTCAGACTCCATCTCAGGTCCATCTCGGGTCCATCTCGGACTCCATCTCGGACTCCATCTTGGCTCCATCTCGGACTTTATCTCGGACTCCATTTCGGGTCCATCTCGGGTCCACCTCGGACTCCATCTCGGACTCCATCTCGGGTCCATCTCGGACTCCACTTCGGACTCCAACTCGGGTCCATCTCGGGTCCACCTCGGACTCCACTTCGGACTCCATCTCGGACTCCATCTCGGGTCCATCTCGGACTCCACTTCGGACTCCAACTCGGGTCCATCTCGGACTCCACTTCGGACTCCAACTCGGGTCCATCTCGGACTCCACTTCGGACTCCAACTCGGGTCCATCTCGGACTCCACTTCGGACTCCAACTCGAGTCCATCTCGGACACTCCCACGTGTCATGTGCTGGTCCTTTTGGATCCCTTTTTGGAGCCTCGCCTTTTGCTCGCTTCGTGCTCGTTCCTCGAGCACTTCGTTGGGAGTTCCACTCCCGCTCTTGACTTTTCAAGTCGGAGCTTTTGGTCCAAACGTGTTACGCTCGTTTGGCTCTCGTTTCGGCCACTACCATGTGGCGCCCTTCCGGCTCCACTTTGGGGCCTAGGGATTTTGTGTCTCACAATGGGGAGCTTGATGTAAATAAAATTGATGCAATTAAGTGTGTCTTTGTTGAAGACTAATATAGACCGAAAGCTTAATGGTTTGTGATGCATAGTTGTATGTACAGCACTACACATGTTTTGAATCCTTCATACCTTGAGCAAGATTCGGATGCTGAGGTAAGAAGTGATTTGCTGGATTATTTATTACTCTATTGCCATGGGAACACTTAACTGGAAGAGAAATTGGATGAGCAATTCAATATATTTTGACAAAGAATTGGAAGAGCTATTAATTAGGACTTGTTAAGAGCAAAGCAAAAAAAAAATTTCTAATGTATTGGTGGGAATTTTATGGATATGAAATGCCCAAGCTTGGGAAGTTAACATTTTATGTGTTGAACCAAGGAGTGTGCTCTTTTCCATGTGAGTGAAATTGGAGTAATTGGAACTTGATCTAAACCAAACAATGCAACTACTTACTTCTAGAGAACCTGAAGAAGTTAATTTATATGTATAGTAACACTAGAATGGTGAATTGTGTTAAAAATGAAGGAATAAAGTCCCTAGTGATTAATCTTGACACAATTCCAATCAAACCACAATGGATAAGGATTATAGAGATGCAAGTTAAGCTTAAATCTCTTGATATAGAAGAGTTAGTTGAAGAAAATCTTCCATATAAGGATGTGATTGTTGAAGAAGATGCCAGAGATGTTGAATAAATTACTGAAAATGTTAAAGAAGATGAATAATAGTTGATTTCTAATGCTTTAGTTTTTTTACTTTTATTAGTTTAGTTTTACTAAAAATGTTTTTTTTTTAATCAAAAAAAGTTTGTGAATCATTTAGTTGTTCAGCATTTTCACCGCCAGTAAATAACCACTATCAGCCAGTTAGTCAATTGCTGTTTGGAGCAGTCAAAACTAAGTGTGGCCACAATGGCAAAACATTAATATTACTAATTAATCTAGAAAATGTGGAGATGAATGGTATAAAGGATTAATGTCCTCCACCATAGCGTGCTCATGGTCAAATTCCAGGAAACCCAGCCTGACCGTTGCCAAAGGGTGTGTGGTCTCCAGTGGGTACCTATACCTCCAGCTTACCCTCTCAGAAATCATGCCCAAAGTCCTTCCTGCCCATTTGATTCTGCAATGTCGCAAAAGCTCTTCCCCTTGTTGAGCAAGAAATGAAAGCTGGGGCCAAACCTGCTGCAGATTCTCAATCTTCTTCTGCCACTCTGATGGCAAGATTGTGCAGTACCTATTGCTCAAAGAAACATTCTTTAGCCTTGATCAAACTGGCAATGTAGGAGCAGACCTTTTGATAGAACCGTGTATGTCGTGAAGCTTGCGGGCAGTGGATTCTGACACATTGCCTCGTAGATCGCTCGCAGCGCCGTGCCGCGACATGGAAATTGATCCAAAGGAGGAAGGAAGAAGGGTCAAAAGGACGAAGAAGAGTATAAATAGAGTTAGGCGGCACTCGTCCTGTGGCTGCCCACTCTACATCCAGCTCAAGGTTCACGGATTCGCATAAGTTCCTTCTCCCATACAAGAGGATCAGGCAACAGCAGTGAAGTATCTCACTCGAGAAAGAAGAACTGAAAGAAGGAAGAGCTTTTGGCTCTGGCGCTGGCGCGCTCACATCGATGGTCTCCAGTCTTTGATGAGATGGTTCCATCCATGGAGGAGCTTACGCATGCCCAGGAGAAGCTGCAACTTCAGCAACCAAAGGACTTGACGAGGCTGAGGAGAGGGCGATATCTTCCACGGCTACTGCTGGCGATCAAGACGAGGAGAATCACGTCACAGCTCAGGTGAAGCTTGGGATGCTGCTCGAGAACTTGGGTCGGCTGGACAACAGCTTAAGCAAGCGTCCTCCACTGGCTCCACTATCACTGGTGCTACTCACTATGGGGCCGTCAAGTTCCTCCAGCACTGCCACGTGATCTCTCTTCAAGCATCAATGGTTGCTGGGAGTTTAGAAAGTGGTGGAGTCCTGCCTCGACTGGCCATCCACTCTACTAGTCTCCCTATGGATTTGTCGCTTGAGCTGTGCATGGTTTGAACGGCTCAGGCTCGGCCTCGTCTACAAGCTCGTCACCAAGAAGCTCAAGCTGGCCAACCAGAACTTGTTCGCTGCTGGCTGTGCATCTCCGACGAGTTGGGGAAGTCTGGGATCATTGGTTTTAAGTTGGTGTCGCTGGATGGAGTTCCTGTGGAGTCTTTAGAGAAGCAGAGCAAGTATTGGAGTGAAGAAGATGATGATGTGGAATTGACTCAACTCTCTTGTAGACAAGAAGATCATTGAGTTGGTGCATGGCCTCTTGAATGTACCACGTGCTGTCTAGGACAACCACGCTGAGGTTTTTGTCTGCTACCTTGATCACAATACTATGATCATGTCGCAGCACAAGCACTACATACGTCTCCATCCTCTTAGAAAAGATCAAGGTCTTTTACAACAGGAGAGACGGTGGAGAAGGTCCTCTTGAATGCGGACAACGTGTCACTCCATGTGCCAGGAAGCAGGGGGAGGATCAAAGTTTGGATTGGGAACCTGAAACTTCGCTACTGTCCTTAAACAAATGGCAAGGGGTGAGGTATCTGTCCTTTGCTGTTGTTTGTCTTGTGATCTGGTGCATCTGCCAGCATTTTCATGGTGTTACCTCGGAATTCCATGCTCCCTCTCCTTCCACATCTTGTCAAAGCAGCTCTGGACAAGAATCTTAACAGTGTCCTCCTTGGGCAGTGTCTCAGCCTTGGCTTGTGCAGTATCCTCTACAGCTTCCCTTTGCTTGTGAGCATTTTCTTTTTTGCTCTCCTCAACTCCATATGCCACTGCTCTAATTGCAGCTATCAACTGGTGCTTGTGGGCATTGAGAGTATGTGTGACAGCCTCTCGTTGTGCATTCCCACAAGCCTGCAAAGCACAGTGAACAAAATCATCCATTTGATCATTCAAAATGTTGAGAGAGTCTATGGTTGATGAAATCCACAAGGGTAGCAGCCTCGGTCTCTTGTGCCTTGAGCAGAGCAGCAAGAAGGTCCTTTAAGTATTGTTTGTGGATTGCTTTACTGCTAGCATCAAGGAGTTCCTAACCATGAGAGGTCATCTCAAGCTTTGGCATGCAAATGCGAAGGTCTTGAGGGAATTGCTTCTTATCACGAAGCTGAGTCGATCTCTTCATAGCGAGCCTAGGTAGGTTTTGAGCTCATGAAAAACATAAGAAAAACATTGGTTCATCTTGAACCAACATTTTTTCATCTTTCAAATTTTGATTTAATTTATAGTTCCAAGTAAATCTGACTAATAAAATACAAATATAAATTTAGATCCAAAACACTAAAAGCAATTTAAAAACTCTTTTCAAGCTTTATAACTATAAATCTTTACTTAGTAGATGTGATGGTCTATCTTAGTTTTTGCATAAAAATGTAATAGATGTGCTTCCAAACTAAATATACCTTTCCCTTATTCTCCTTTTGTTTAAAATTTGGATAGGTATAGAATGGATTTTTGTAGATTTTGACAGTATAGCTTTTGATGACTCAATCACAACAATAAACTTCTTAACCACATCACTAATGTAATTTGTGATTATGTAGTTCAACTCCTTTATTAGCTTGATCTTCTCTTATGCACTTTTCAAAATGGAAGACCTATATTGTATAGCTTTTCTATTTCTAGCTGGTTGTGTATGCCAATCTAATGTTGACATTGGTGGCATAGCAATATCAATAATAAGATTTGAGGAAGTTTTCAATTTGAAATCCGCTCCCTCCAGACTTTCAATTTCTTCTTTCAAAAGATTGCAACTTCACTCAGCTAGCCACTTTTTTAGCATAGAATCTAGCTTTGAAATAATTGAGTTGTGGATCTATCTTGTATGAGTAATATTAGTTCCACAACAAAAAATCCAACTTGACTAATAGCCCTTTACCTTTAGATCTTGATAGCCCCAAAAACATAACATAGCTAAAAAACTTGAATTTAAGCACATAAATATGAGATATTAACCTTGACTCTTAATCATTCTAAAGCAACAAGCATTGCTCTTGGCACTGACTCTTAAACTACCCAGCTAATACGAAAAACTAGCTCATGAGCAATAACTTTCTTAACCTCTAGCACTAGATTTACTTATGTAACAACTAACACCTCCTCCACTATGTTCTTTAGTTCTTTTTCGTTGTCGTAAAACAAAATGGTAGTTAAAATTTACATGGTGAGAGTTGGAAAGAGTGATGTTAGGCTTATCAAATGTCTATCAATGTTTTATATAGGTTATCCTTATGTCCCCAAGTGGTTTATAATTTGATTTTATAGGAGTTCTAGCAACAATTTCCTACACCATCTTAAACATTAACCTTACTATTAGTGTTGTCCTTCTACCAAGGCTCTTGAAAATTGTCTAAGTTCATACTTATACTAGTAAATTTTACTTTTTATACAGCCAAAGCTTTTGATGATTGCTCAAAAGATCTAGTGAGGTCAAAAAGTGTAGCTTTATAAAGGGACAGTTGTCCTTTCCTTACTTTGGAAGCTTTCTAACTCTTTTTTATCACATTCAAGTGTTGTATTTTTCCTAGACTCAACCACTTGATGACATTGTACTCACACCAACAATTAATCTCTCTGAGAGAAAACTTACATGGAGAATATAATAGTTCCATTGAAATATTTGAACCTCCCACCATGCAAACTAGCATTCCATCTATGGAAGGCGTTCAATTGGCACTTTGTCTTATTTATGCCACTATATGTGCATTTCATTTGCCTTTGCCTCATACTTTTCTTTAATTAATGCATCCATCCATTCTCAATAAAGCTACTTAAACTTGTGATGGAAGTCAGACTTGATGCATTCGTAATCTTTGTTGACACTCTTTGCACAATGAAACTCATAACTCTTCTCTTTAGCTTATAACAATTGACTTTTGTCACTTCTAAACACTTGCCACACATCCAACCAATTAGCACCAATAGCATTTGCCATGAAACCATGAGTTTCTTCCTAATTTGATGTTCAACAACTTTGAATATATATGTCCAAAAGATAGTTTGAGCTTGAAAATCTTAGACTTTGAATTTGGTTATAACTATAGTCAAATTGCATTGCAACCTATAGAAGAAATGGGTATAATATAACTGGTATGAAATCTTAAAAAATGAAAAACCACTTACTTATGATCATAATATGGGCTCTCATAATTGACTAGCTTGAAACTTGTTTTATGTGGTTAAAATGGATTCAAGAATTAGCCAAGTCCCTATCTCCATTTATATCCATTTGCTACACAAGGTCTGTGTAAGCTCTTGAATTTGGACTTCCTCGGAAGTCACCTAACCTAATACTATTTAAACTTAAGGACATTTAACCCCAAATATCCCAAGACCCTTAACTGATTGGAAAAGGGGGTGCACTCTTATTTATAGGTTTTTTCCCTTTATATTTGAACCCTTATGAATCATTTCTTGAGTTGTTTTCTTTAGTTTCTTACAATCCACTATGCTTTCCTATAAGTTCGCGCCCTCATGAATGAAAGTTAAGAGCCACAGCTCTCTTGAGAGCCCCGCTCTCTTGACACCCTACCTCTCATGGCAAGCTCCACCGGAGCAAGTTGGACCAGCCAAATGTCAATCAATATGTGGTGTGATTCCCCTAACCAACTAACAAAGTCAAACCCGAGACCGCTTTGATACAAAATGTAAGCTCCTGAATTTGGCCTTCCCGAGAGGTCACTTAACCCAATATTATTTTAACCCAAGGACATTTAACCCCAAATATCATAAGACTCTTAACTAATTGGAAAAAGGGGTGCACTCTTATTTATAGACCTTTTCCCTTTATATTTGAACCCTTATGGATCATTTCTCGAATTGTTCTCTTTGGTTGCTTACAATCCATACAAGAAGTAGGACCAAGGGTCAATATCTTAAAGATGAAAAGGCATTGACTGTTCGAAGTTATTTGGCTATTGAATAAGCTCCCATGAATAAACTCATAAACATTTTCTCTTTAGCTCCAAAATTGCATCCAATCCAAATTGAAGTTTTCCATCTTACCCTTCTCACATCTAATTCTTTATTTTGTAAAAAATAAAGTGCTATTAATGACAAAGTAGAGTTAAGTATTAATCATATACCTTTTAAATTTGTTACAGGTTCTATATTTTGAAGCAAGTCTTTCAAACTGTTCTCCGTAAACTCTTTTTTGCTATCAGATTGTAACAACATGTCCACCATATAATCCTTTAGTACAAATTGTTAAACACACTTTGAAGTTGTAGCATTTTTTCTCCCAGCCAAGCAGCTTTCAAATTGGGAAAAGAATCATGGTAAATTCCTTCCTTTATTGTGTGTTGGTGGTGTCCAACATGCATTGCTACTCTACCTAAACAACTATCCTATAGAAAAAAGTGAAGAGAAGAAGAGCGGAAGCTATGATGGTGGATGACTCCAAGGATAGTCGTATATAATATCAAAGATATATATATACATGATGAAGAGACACACCTCTAGCCTACACATGGATCAGTGAAGTGGCACTCCTGCCACCTAGGATCATGTCATAGAGAGTGTATACTCAACAAAAAGTAGTACATCTTTGCATCGCAACATACTCGATACACAATTATTGCCCATACACATTTGTGGCATCTAAACTTTATAACAACCTTATCACGCCTAAGGGGATTGATCATTGAGCCTTCAAAGAAACACATATTCTTGCCATAATAAAAAATGCATTTCACTCAAGTTGTTCACCACAATGGACTATGGACACGGATCCATTGAAATGGGAAAAGTGGGTTGTCTTTACCCTACACCAATATGTGGATCAAGACGTGTCTCCATGCCCCTCTTCCTTCTTAATAAATTAGCTAGTGGAATATATTACTGTCAAAATGCCTTATTCACTATTTCAAAAACTGGTTTAAAAGGAATGCACCTCTTTGTCTGGGAAGCTATATTGGGAAGCTCATCTTCTTTATTTTCATCATTGAAAAGAATAACTTCATCCTTCACTCCTTACACAATTAGCTATGAAATTGATGCACTCTTCTCTCCTTGCTTTAGAGATCTTGTAATAAAAATCTCCTACCTTGTATATCTATCAAGATTCCATTAAATCCCATTCTCTCCTACACCACTATTGAGAAGAATAGATTTTTATATCTAATTACCCTTATCACAACATATATTCTCTATACTAACTAATCCTGTCTTCAGCTTGAATCTTCTTCATAGGAAGCTCTCTTATGTAACATTCTTAGAGAAAATAATTAGAGTCTCTTGATTGACCTTCAAGTAAAATTCTTTTATATCTTTTCCTTATAAGATGTAGCACACATGAATTTAGAGCCAAACTCTAAGCCTATTGCATTGCAAAACAAGGGTTTGATACACTCTTAATTCTATAAGCACTAGCTCTTATATCTAACACTTATATGCAAAATGGTGTTTAACACAATTTTGGCATATCGATGGTATAATACGAGGAGGAGGGTACCCTACTGATTAGAGCAATATGGAGCTTGGGCTTAAACCCAAGACAAATGTAGAATAAGGAATGACACAACCTATACAACTAACACCATTGTGTTCAGGACAATCTTTACAATAGATATGCCAAATTAGCAAATCTAAACACTTTTCACAAATAGCTAATAGAACCAAAACAAGACCAATACAAGAGGCTTGATAGTAAAGGTGTTTATCAAACATGGTAAGCTATTATATAGTGAGTATTGAGAGACCAATCTCAATATTCTGGGGTTCCCAACACTAGTAAGTGCAAGTTAACAACATAAATTTCTTATCACTGTGTTAAATATGCTTTACTAAATAATAATTTAGGATTTCCTTCCTTAGTGCCCTTTCGATCTAAGTGCACATGTGCTAGCTAATTTCTCAAATAATTTAGGTGGAGACTATAAAGGGAACTAGTATACCGACCTCTTGCCGTTATGGCAGTAAGGAGTGAGTGTCTGTAATGACTGGCTAATAAGTATCTTTCGATACCTAAAGTCACATTCACGATACAAGAGCACTTAGAAAAAATTTGGGGAGAAACTAACAAAAAAGAACAAAAATGCTATTTTTGTATTGTGAGCTTTAATTAGCTATGTCTTTAAGTTAATTATTTTAACAAAATATACAACCATTTAGAATCTAGAAATATATGATAATCTTAAAAGGCCACTTATAATAATTGTATAATTGATTATGAGACAAATAATACTGTTAAAAAAACCACATATGAACCAACCTCTCCAAACTTGACTCACTCTTACTTCTCACAAAACAATGAAACTCTCTTGAAAGGAAGAGACCATGGAAATGAGATGGAGAAAAAACAAATTCAAGTTTCTTGTCATGTGGTACAGAATCCTCTAGTGTATGATACCACTCAAGAGCTTTTCCTTTAAGTGTGTATGGGAAAAGTATGGCTTGATGCTGTTCTTGATTGTTCATTTTGACAATCTGGTTGAATTGTTTTACATGTAATTCTGAATCTTCTGACTTACTTCTTGTGAAAATTGGATATGTAACCATGCTTCCAATTGTACTCATCGGATTGATGATTGCCATAGGTGGTTGTAGACTTTGTTGGTTGAGTTGTTGTTCTGGTGAGTCCGGATTTGAGTAATCTGGTGCTGTGTATTCTGCTTCTTCAAATGCCTCAAATTCTGGGGCGTCTTTGATATTCAGTTCTTTGTTATCTTTAACTGGGTTGCTCGACTTGGCAACTTGAATTTGTTTATCCTTTTTGTCGTACTTGTTTAAAATTGTTTCTAAAATTTGTTGCTATTGTTGTTCTAATTTCTCTTTTATTACCTCTTCCTTTTTCACTTCTCGATTCTTTTGTTGAAAATCTCTTTCTCGGATCTTGATTGAGTCTGGTTTCTATTTGTACATTTAGTTTGCTAAGTCTTCTCAACTTGAATGTCGAGGAAAGTTTCCTGAATTTGTGTTTCGCCTAAATTGTCTTGAGTCAATTGTTGTTCTTCATAGATTGCAAAGTCAAGCTCTTACGTCTTGAGTCTGTTGCAAGTTTTGATTTTATAGTATAAATGCGAAGTCAAGCTCTTACATCTTGAGTCTGTTGCAAGTTTTGATTTTATAGTATAAATGCGAAGTCAAGCTCTTGTGTCTTGAGTCTTTTGCAAGTTTGGTTTTGTTGTATAAATACGAAGTCAAGCTCTTGTGTCTTGAGTCTTCAATTGAGTTTTTCTTTCTCAATTCTTCCCAAGTTTCTTCTCAAGGTCACTTTCCTGAGTCTAGCTTAGGAACGGTCTTGTATTTGAAAAATCAGATGGTGTAAGTATGCACTATTAGCAAGTTCAGAAGCTTTTATCGTTGTCTTCACAGGGAAAAAGTGAGCCATCTTCGTCAAACGATCCACAACAACCCAAATAGCATCATTTCCTCGAAAGGTTTTGGGCAAACCAGTGATAAAGTCCATCGAGATGCTATCCCACTTATTCTCAGGTATACGTAAAGGATGATAGAGGCCAGCGAGCTTCTGATGATCAACTTTGACAGCCTGGCAGGTCAAGCAACCACGTACGTACTTCTCAACATCTGACTTCATCCCAGGCCAAAAGAAATGCCTCTTCACCAACATATACGTTCTCAATACCCCCGGATGCCCAGCACTTGGCACATCATGACACTCAACCAAAATCCGTTTGATGAGTTTGTCAACACGAGGAACCACTACACGTCCCTTCTTCACCAGGATTCCATCTCATATTTCGAATGACGCAAACTTGTCACCCTTCAAATTTGTAGAGGCGTCCCTCAACAAAACCTTCGCGCGAATATCAGTGATGAAGGAGTCGAAGTCAGCAAACTCCTTAAGCTCATCCAAGAGATCGCTGGATAGCTTCACGAACGAGATAGAATTTACCATCCTGGATAATGCATCAGCCACCTTATTATCACCTCCATGCTTGTACCAGATCTTAACAGACATTTCCTGCAGGAACTCTTGCCAACGAGCAAGACGGCCTCGAAGATCCTTTTGTCGACGAGAGATTGATGGTCTGAATCCACATGGAAGTCCGATCCATATAGATAATGTCGCCATTCCTTCACAGCAGCAATCACAGCATATAACTCCTTGTCTCGAGTAGGCCAATTCCGCTGTGTGGCATCAAACTTATGGCTCATGTATGCAAGAGGATGCCCAACTTGAAGCAAAACAGCTCCAATAGCAATGTCACTTGCATCTGTCTCGACCACAAGAGGCTTTTCAGGATCAAAAATCTTCAACACCGGAGCAGAGATACAACATTGCTTCAAACGTTGAAATGCCACTTCACACTTCTCATCCCAACCATGAATAGTAGCATGTTTCGACGTATTCTGAAGAAGATTAGTTAAAGGGGCTGCTATCCCTGAAAAGTCCTTCACAAATCGTCGAAAAACTCCAGCCATACCAAGGAAACTACGGAGATCATGCACTGTGGAAGGTATAGGCCAATCAACCACGGCCTGAATCTTTGCGGGATCAGCTCTCACTCCATGTACCGAAATCAAATGCTCGAGATATCCAATCTCCTCTAAAAAAAACTCACACTTGGATAACTTCGAGTAGAGCTTGTTGTCCCTCAAAAGTTGTAAAACACTTTGCACATGCATCTCATGTTCCTCCATGGAAGAGCTGAATACCAGGATATCATCAAAATAATCAATTGCAAACTTTCCCAAGTAAGGTTGTAGAACTTGATTCATCAATCTCTGAAAAGTTGCAGGAGCATTTGTCAAACCAAACGGCATCACTAAAAACTCGTAGTGACCTGTCCTTGTCCGAAATGCAGTTTTCGGAACATCCTCTGGCTTGACACAAATCTGATGATATCCTTGCCTCAAATCAATCTTCGAAAAATATCGAGCTCCACGAAGATGATCGAGTAAATCATCGATACGAGGGATCGGGAACATATTCTTCACTATCCTATCATTCAATCCCTTGTAGTTCACACAAAGACGCCATGTACCATCTTTCTTTTTGACCATCACCACTGGAGCAGCCCAAGGAGATTTGCTGATCCGTAACCACCCTTTCCGAAGGTATTTAGCAAGCTGCCTATTAATCTCCTCATCTTCAGTGGGACTAGTACGAGTTGGTTGTCGCTGAAAAGGAGCGGCTCTAGGAACCAAGTCAATCTCATGCTGAATTCCACGTTCTGGAGGCAAACCATCAGGTAACTCATCCGGAAATACGTCATGGAACTCCTCCTGAATGGAATCCACTTGTGCCTCATGCCCACGAACGTACTCCAAATCAGTCATGATCAAATTAGAAAGAAACGGGTACACCACAAAAGATCTAGCTATCTCATGCGAGCATGTTACCAACTCCAAAGCGTTAATCAATGGAGTATCACTATTGTCTGTCCCGACAATCTCTTTTATAGTGCCACCAACTTCGATATGCAGAACATTACGCTGCCAATCGATTCTTGGCTTCCTGTCATAAAACCATTCCTTCCCAAGAATAACGTCTGTGCGACCAAGATCCATAACTTGGAACGAAGGATGGTCGAGAATCCTTTGAACCGTCAAAGGAACACTCAGAGCCCATTCACCGTAAACACGAGTGCTATGTCCATCTGCCATAACCACCTCGTAGATTACTGAACTCTTTTCCACAGGCAAACCAAGTTTCTTCACCACCTTAGAGCTCAAAAAATTATGTGTAGCACCTGGATCGAAAAGAATACTAACAGCATGTCCTTGAATGTCCCCCTTGGCCTTCACAAGTTGATTGCGCATAGAACCATTAATCTCTACAGAGTTGATACGAACTCGAGACTTAGATTCTTGAACTTTTGCCACAAGGTGTGGAAGAGCCACCACAGCAGATGCCTGAGCTGTATCCATGATGGATTCCACCACATTCACCTTAGCATTCTTTGATCCCTTCACAAGAGGACAATCCTTGCCATGATGTCCAGCCTTATGACAACGAAAACAATTGCCCTCCACCTTGTCCTTCTCTTGTTAGTCTAACCGATGTCTTTTTGCCTCATTGCCATCTCCACTCTTCGAGCTATGACGAAGCAACGGCCGTTTCTTCCCTGAGAATGAAGTATTGGTGGGTTGGTCATCACGTTGACCACCCCGGAGACCATCCTTTTGACCAACGTTGACCGAGTTGACCGACGGTTTGGGCGAAAAGATTTGAGCCTTAGTGATAGCATCAGTCAATGTTGCTGGAAAATCCTTCTTGACCTTCTGCTGCACATCCACCGAGCTCAATCCTTTGATAAAACATTGCACCTTTAGCAGCTCATTATAGGTGCCTGTGAGACTAAGGCAAAGATCACGGAACTTGCGGGCATACGCATTCAAAGACAAAGTCCCCTGCCGGATCTCTAACAACTGATTCACGAGATCAACCTCTTCAAACTTCTTGACAAACGAAGCGCGGAAAACCTTTGTCAAATCAGTCCAAGAAGTCGACATTGGATTAGCTTTGATGTAGTTCTTCCACCACGAAGAAGCATGGCCCGTAAGCTTCGTCACAAAAAAATCTATCTTCACCTTATCCTCACAAGAATTGTGAGACCAACAACTTTCCCACAATTCCAACCAAGAATCAACCTCTTGACTATCACAAACATCCAGTGATGATTTCCATTCCACGATACCATAATCCTTGGCATGCTTGACGTACCAATGGTAATCACGGACATGAGATTGATTCAACCCTTGAGGGTTCATGCGAAGCAAGAAATCCTTGATGAGATTGACGGAATCCTTAACCTCCTTTATGTCGCTCTGAACTGCAGAAATCTGGCGTCCTTGCCGCAGAATGACATCATCAAGAGTCTCTTCGGCATCGTCATGGCTATCCTCACTAATGCCATACTCCTCATCAGGATCAATATCTTGCTCACCCGCCATCCCCAAAAGAACGTGCTGCTCCGATACCAATGAAACGAACAAGAGAGCGAACCCTAGGCCAACCTCCCAACCCTTAAGGCGTTACGGCCTTAAATCCCACAGGCCATGGAATATTCTCGGAATATTCCCGTAGTTCGTGTCAATATGTCATATGTTAAGAGTCATTTTATATATGATGAACACAAGAGTGATATAAGATGGGTGTGTATGGACTTAGGGCATGTTATCATTTTGGATCTTCTCCTCTTCCTGGTTTCTCTTCCTCCTGTCCTTTTCCTTCTCCATGTGTAGCATATGTGATCATTATAGTGCACGTGGTTTTTACCTTGTATTTTATGGTGATTTACCATAGAATAACCACAAAGTGGTACCTAAACCATCCATGTGCCACGTGCCACATCCTACATGTCTATAGACTTGAGTTTTAGGGCATTGGGCCACTGCATGAAGGAATAGAGTCAAACTCCCAAGTACGGAGCCAAGGAGCGACGAAACTGGAGCACAGAGCAACTCTCGACCATACAACCCAAGAAGCATAGGGACAAGAGCATGGAATGATTTGAAATAGTCCTAGAGCATCCAACATCCTAATGCCAGGATTAGCACACAAAATGGAGCTAAATGGAATTTGGCACATACCGTTCGCCTAACGCGAGGATATGGGTACTCCACCAACTAGCATAGTGTGGAACTTGGGCTTAGACCCAAGCTAGATGTAGAACAAAGACAAACACGCAAGTGGGAGTTAAATTATACCTCAGATTGAGGAACACACGCTTTGGGCTTTCACTCTTAGCCACCCTTAGTACAAGGAGTTAGTCTCTAAGATTAACTCAAAACTTATTCCCTAGCCATGTGTCATAGGGACTGCTGGTCAAACTCATCCCTGCTGGTCAACCACCCCACTGCACCAACAGCCGTGATTGCCCCACTTAACCCCCATTTAATCGCCCTAAGCACACCCCATAAATGCCCTTTGCTAAGTTAAACCCCCTCCCATGAACCCAATAAATTTAAGCAACACAAAATATGTAACAGAGAGGTGGTGGAGGCCTATAGGATTTTGAGGCCCTCAAAATCCACTAGGCCTCCACTAGAGACTAACATCTTAGAGACTAACTCCTGGTACTAAGGGTGGCTAAGGGTGAAAGCCCAAAGCATGTGTTCCTCAACCTGGCTCTTACTCATTGATTAAATCAGGATTAGCTTCATACCACAACTTTATTATATTGTCTTTAATGTTTGAGGAGTTATCTTTACCTAGCCTCAATGCACATAAGAAAAGGCCTTTTAAATCAGTCTCAAAACCTAAGAACAAGAGAGGGTTTCATGGCCAATGTCTATACAGATTCTGTGCTTCAATTCCCAGATTTATTATCCACTAGGTGATGATCTCTTGCCCCAGCTAGCATTTACCATCTAGACTGGAAATAGTTGAAGTTGAGTTTTGATCGATGCAGTATTTATGGCATGACATGGAGATGCACACATATTCCCTTGATCCAGGCGGGAAGAATCCTCAATAAGAGACAAATGAGATATGTTGAGAGACGGCTATAAAAGGAAGAGGATGACAACAGTAGTCTCATGCCTCTTGAAGCATTTAGGAATGTTTAAAATGTTTAATTGTGTAGCTGAGTGTTGCACTCAGAGTGATTTATAGAGCTTTGATTGTAGCTCACAGTTCACCTCTGGAAACAGTGCATCCCTAAACAATCTGTTTACTAACTTGCAGCTCACTAGGTTCTTGATTGGATGAGACATAGGACCTCCTACCTTTGGTTTTGGCTCAGACTTTGCTAGGTCAAAACAGCCAGAGTGTTCACAGGTCTGCATAGATGGGATGTCGTCCTGGACACAGTACTACAGCCATTCTCATTGCAGGTTTAGGCCTGCTTTTGCTTCACTAGGTAGTTTTCTCCAGAGGGCAGTACATCTGGTTTTTGGTTTGCTGGGACTGGGATGGTAGTGAATATACCTAGAATATGCTTGGATATTCTAGGATATTCTACCAGCTAACGGTTGGTATTCATTTAGATTAATCTGGTATTTATAATTTATAAACATGTTTATAATTTATAAACTTTCTTAAACCCTTTCTAGTATATTCTTTTTTATTCTATCATCTAATGGTTGATATGCAATATAATTAATCTTGTATTTATAAATTACAAACATGCTTATAATTATAAACTTTATTTGATCAATTAGATTAATAAGTAATAATAAAACTACCATTAAGAAAACCAAGCGTTGCTACATGCAACGCGTAGCAATTTATTTGTATTAGTCCCTATAGGACATTTCCTCAAAACAAATATAGGGTTGTTGCAAACCAAATAAATTCTTTACAAGCTCCAACCTCCCAACTCAAGGTGTTGCCTTAAATCCCCTAGGCCAATATTGTGTCATTCTTCTATCCCTTATGAAAAAGCTACATATAGTAGCCTTGAAAAGCTAAATAAGCCTTACGTGATGAGAATCCAAAGCAATATGGCCATGGAGAAAAGATGTACAAATATATGAAATTATCTAGTGCTCACAATACTATTGAGATAATTTAACACTGCCACCTCCTTTCAAAGATTATTGTGCATGCAATAGCTTAAGGAAGACCTTGTCACTAATTTTATACTCCTATGAAGATGATGTTTATGAATCAGTCTCTTCTCTCATTCTTGAGCTTATCTCACAGTCAACTTTGCCAACTCAAGTTTGTTTTCCATATCCTCTAAGAAATCACAAGTATGAGGCATTTGAACCATAGCCAAACTCAAACTCATGGGAGACTTAAGTTCATAGCTATACATACATGAATAGTAACATGGAGCGCTATTATGAATAAACTGGAGTAAAAGCAAGTATTTTTTCCATACTCCTTATTGAGTCAAGTTTCTCATAAGCATATCTTCCAACAATTGATTTATAAGCTCTATTTACCCATTTGATTATAGATGCTCACCATGCTCATACTTAGCTTAGTTTATAGCTTATCAAAAACCATTTTCTAAAACTTAGATGTGAACTTAGGAGTAAACCTCATTGCCTCCTTCAACACAACCAGCAAAAACTTCATTGGATACTTAGGATGGCACTCCATCAACTAAGCCTATAGCAATCAAGGCTGTTGTATTTTCCTAGAAAGTGGGACCATTAAGGTTTGCCTTAGAGATTGAATAATCAGTCTACAAATACCTAAATAAGTTTAGAAGTTTTAATTTTTATCTTCATTGGGAAGAAGTGAGCCATGTTTCCCACTGATTGCCACCCATCTGCAGCTAACTCGCTCTCCCTAAAGCTAAAGCCACAAGCACCAAACACAATGCAGTGCTGAGTAATGTGGCATGGATTATTTGGTCTCAAGCATGGGGTAGTGATATGGCAATACTAACAGAAATGTTTACTCCTCTTTGTTTGGGTTTTGGCCAACTTGACCACTAGGGTGATAAGTTGGGGAGATAGGGTTTTGGCTTTGGGTTTTGGGGAGTAGGGAATGGTTGATGTAGCCATATTCATCAAATAATCAATAACAACCCAAATAACATCATTTACTAAGGACAAACTAATGATAAAGTCCATTGAGATGTTATCCTATTTTTTCTTGGGTAGATGTGTAGATAGAGGCTTGTGAACTTTTGATGATCAACTTTGATTTCCTGGTAAGTCAAATAACCATGTATGTACTTCTCAACACTTGACTTCATCCCAAGCCAAAAAAATGCCTCTTCACCAATATATATGTCTTCAGTACCATTGGATGTTTAACACTTAGCACATCATGACACTAAACTAAGATCTATTTGATGAGTTTGTTAACATAAAGAACCACTACACATCCTTTCTTTACCAAGATTCTATTTTATACCTTAAAAGGCACAAACTTATCACCTTTCAAATTTGTAGAGGTGTCCCTCAATAAAGTGATAAAGGAGTTAAAGTCAAAAAACTCTTTAAACTCATCTAAGAGATTGTTGGATAGCTTTTTAAATGAGATAGAATTCATCATCTTGGATAATATGTTAGCACCATTAGATCTTGACAAATATCTTCTACAAGAACTCTTGTCAATAAGTAAATTGGCCTTGAAGATCTTTTTGATGACTGAAATATTAGAGAGATTGATGGTTTGAGTCCACATCCATACATATAATATCACTATTTCTTCAAAGTAACAATCATGGCATACAACTCCTTATTTCAAGTAGGCCAATTTCACTATATGGCATCAGACTTATGGCTTATGTATGTGAGAGAATGCCCAACTTGAAGCAATATGTCTCTAATAGCAATGTCACTTTAATTTGTCTCAATCACAAAAGAGTTTTTAGGATTAAAAATCTTCAAAAGACTCAACATTGCTTCAATCACTAAAATGATATTTGACACTTCTCATCCCAACTATGAATTTCAATATGTTCTAAAAAAGATCAACCAAAAGAGTAGATATCTTTGAGAAGTCTTTCACAAATTGTTGAAAAACTCTAGCCATACCAAAGAGATCATGCACTATTAAAGGTATAGGCCAATCAAGCATAACTTGAATTTTTGTGGGATTAGCTGTAGTAAATCAAATGCCCAAGATATCCAATTTTCTCTAAGAAAAACTTGCACTTGGAATAACTTTAAGTAGATTTTGTTGTCCCTTAAATGTTGCAAAACATTTTTACATATGTCATATTCCTCCACTATAAAGCTAAATACAAGAATATCATCAAAGCAATCAATAGTAAACATCCTCAAGTAAGGTTGTAAAATTTGATTCATCACCTTTGAAAAGTTGTAGAAACTTTTGTCAAACCAAACAGCATTACAAAAACTCATAGTGACCTGTCCTTGTTCAGAATGTAGTCTTTGGAACATCTTTCAGTTTAACACAAATATGATGATATGTTGCCTCAAATGAATCTTTATAAAGTATTAAATGCTTTATTTCGTTAAAGTGGGATTTATTCAGTAAAATGGGACTAGGTACAAATTTTCAAGTATTTGAAAATGACGTG